AGATAGAGATTTCTTCAATTTGATATATTATACGCTTATTTTGGATAGCTGTAGCCGCACTGCCGAACCATTATTTTCATTATCACACACATTTCGGTTTTCACTGAACAGTCAGTATTAAATTGACCATAACTTGCTCAATCAAATACCAATTGATGAAAGGTTTGAATATTTAGAAACTATATAGACAGGGCTTTAAATTGATATATTATACGCTTAATTTGGATAACTGTAGTCCCACTGCTAAATCATTCATTTTATCAGCATACACATTTCGGTTTTCACTGCATAGTCAATAGTAAATCGACCATAACTTGCCCAATAAAACTCAAATTGATGAGAGGTTTGAATATTTAAAAACTAGAGAGAAAGGATTTAATTTGGTATATCATACGCTTAATTTGGATAATTGTAGCCCCACTGCCGAACCATTCATTTTATCATTACACAAATTTCGGTTTCCACTGAACACCCAGTAATAAATTGACCATAACTTGCTCAATAAAACTCCAATTGATGAGAGGTTTGAATCTTTAGAAACTAGACATACAGAGATTTAATTTTGTATACTACACACTTAATTTGGATAGCTGTATCCCGACTTCCAAACCATTCCATTTATCATCACATATTTCGGTTTCCACTAAATTGTCAATAGTAAATTGATCATAACTTGATCAATAAAACTTCAATTGATGAGAGGTTTGAATATTTAGAAACTAGACAGATAGGTTTTTAATTTGATATATTTGGATAAATAAAACCCTACTTTAGAGCCATTCCTTTTATCATCACACACATTTCGGTTTCTCCAGTTTCTCAATTTCCACTGAAAAATCAGTAGTAAATTGGTTATAATTTACTCAATAAAAGTCCAGTTGATGAGTGGTTTGAATCTTTGGAAACTAGAAAGATAGAACTTTAATTTAATATATTATACAATGAATTTGGATAACTATAGACTTGCGGCCAAACCATTTATTTTGTCATCACACACATAAAACCAATTTAATGTTAGTGATGACAAAGGAAAACAAATGTTGATATGCAATGTTAATTGTATTTATTCTATCTCTTTTTGTTGATATTTTTTTTTTTATGTTACATATATATCAAAAACAGAGTTTGTTTCTGTATATCACTTTTTTTTTTTTTTTTTTTTGTATTACAAATATCATCTGATGTTTGTTACCGAACCATGTAGCTTTAGTAAAAAGAGGTTGTTGCTGAATATAACTAATTTTATTTATTTAACAAATATAAATTGATGTTTGATGTTGAACCATGTAGCTTTAGTAAACCATTCATTTTATCATCACATATATTTAGGTTTTCACTGAACAATTAGTAGTAAATTGACCATAACTTGCTCAATAAACCTCCAATTTATGAGAGGTTTAAATATTTAGAAACTAGATAGACAAGGCTTTAATTTGATATATTATACATTTAATTTGGATAACTTTAGCCCCACTGTCAAACAATTCATTTTATCATCACATATATTTCGGTTTCCACTGAACAGACAGTAGTGAATTGACTATAAATTTCTCAATAAAAATCCAATTTATGAGAGGTTTGAATATTTAGAAACTAGACAGATAAGGATTTAATTTTATATATTATATGCTTAATTTTGATAACTGTAGCCCCACCTCCAAACCATTTATTTTATCATCACACACATTTTAGTTTTCATTGAACAGTCAGTATTAAATTGACCATAACTTGCTCAATAAAAATCTAATTGATGAGAGGTTTAAATCTTTGGAAACTAGATAGACAGAACTTTAATTTCATATATTATACACTTAATTTGGATAACTATAACCCCAGTATCAAACCATTACATTTATTATCACACACTTTTTGGTTTCCCATTTTACTCGATTTCCATTGAACAGTTAGTAGTAAATTAGCCATAACTTGCTCAATAAAAATCCAATTGATGAGCGGTTTGAATATTTGGAAACGAGAAAGATATGGCTTTAATTTGATATATTATATGATGAATTAGGATAACTATAGACCTACTGTCGAACCATTCATTTTATCATCATACACATAAAACAAATTCAATTTTGGCGATGACAAAGGAAAACAAATATTGATATGTAGTTTTAATTGTATTTATTCTATCACTTTTTGTTGATTTTTGGATTGATTTTGTTATTTGATTTGTGGGTTTTACAATTATCGTCTTTCTTTAGGATGCTATCATCAAATGCTTTTTTGTTATATGTGGTGGTCAATTCTAATTGCAACAAATAGATTTGTGTCACAAGACCTTTATCTTCATGGCTTCTTCAATGCTTCAATTAAGTTGCCTTCAGATTATACTGTTAGAGTTGTTGTTGCTTTCTATGTAAGTTATCTTCTCAACATTGTTAATTTTTTTTTAATTTCTAAAATAATAATAATAAAAATAACTCATTTTCTCTTTTTAACAATCAAAATCGGTTTTTTCCTTTGGCTTTGCAAGTCTCTTGCTTAAAAGCACATTTTTTGATAGATCACGACGATCATAGAGGCAATCAAAACCGCACCCAAGTATCAGAATGGAGTTTGAAATGGGAAGGGGCCAAGAGTCTTGCATGCATGGGAGTTGAGGGTGAGTAGAGTTTGATGCGGAGCAGAATTCTACGGGCATGTGGGAGGATTGAGTCATATCCAGTTGAGAAGTTCCAGCTGCCATGTTGTGCATGATTTTTCCGCAATTTACTTCTTCCGTTGCACATGTTAATTTGTTGGTTTATGTTGCCTTTATTTCAGCATCATGAGATAACGTTAATTTTGTTGGTTTATGTTGCATTTATTTCTGCATCATGAGCATGGTTTTGCTTATTTAAAATAGCCATGGCTTATCATTAAGGAATATATATATCTAGTTACTGCAATTGGGTTCATTCTCGCCTGAAGAGAATTTATCTTAATTTATTCAAGTTTCGGACCTATCATTGGTATCAGAGCCTGACTGATGGGGACCAACAAGGAGAAAATTGAGCACTTGGAAATTGGACTCGGTGCTTTGCAAGAGGGACTGCAACAGGTAGAGCTTGGTATGACTAGCAGATTCCATCACTTGGAAGAAGTCCTTGATCGCCTCTCAGATGCTTTGCTTATGAACCAAGAGTCACCCAGCTACGGCAACCGCGTCAGGGAGAATTAGGAAAGAGGCTAGCAAATCGTCTCTTCTGAGATGACAAAGCTCGAGTTTCCACGATTTTCAGGGGACGACCCTATAGAATGGTTCAATCGTGTGAACCAATTCTTTGAATATCAAGGTAGTGTAGAAACTCAAAAGGTCCCCATGGCAGCATAATATCTGGAAGGGGAAGCCAACCACTGGTGGCAGTGGATTAGAAGAATGTTAAGGGAAGAAGGACACGAGATTTCTTGGGAGAAATTTGAAAAGGAACTTTGGGCTCGCTTTGGGCCATCTGAATGTGAGGGTTTTGACGGGACTCTCTCTCGGGTTGGACAGACTGGAACCTTAAGGGATTATCAATGCGAGTTTGAGTTCGGCAACAGAGTGCGAGGATAGATGCAGAAGGCAATGGTAGGAACATTCATGGGAGGATTAAAGGCAGAAATAGCAAATGGTATCCGAATGTTCAAACCACAATCCCTCAGAGACGCCATCAATCTGGCTCGGATGAGAGATGACCAACTCTCACGATAGCGAAGGAATATGCAAATCCAACTTGCAAGAGGTCCCCTAACCTTACTGTAGGACACTCGAGAAAATTCTGTTAACCTGACGGTTCCTATCCGTCGCTTATCATGGGACGAAATGCAGATGAAGAGAGCACAAGGTCTTTGTTTCAATTGCAATGAACGCTTCACTTCAGGGAATAGGTGCCTAAAGCCTCAGTTGCTGCTTTTGGAAGGGTATGTGGGAAACATGGTGCATGAAGACTTTACCATCCAACCACCACCAGAAGCTGATCACGATGGAAATGTAGCAGCATCACAAGACCTGAATTTGAACCAGAAATCACATTGCACAAGTTGCCTGGGTGGACGACACCAAGGACAATGCGCATGACAACCAAGATGGGTTCGCTTGAGGTGTTTGTGTTGATCAACAGCGAATAGACCCACGATCTCATCAGCCAGCGATGGGCAATCAAACTTCGTTTGCCTGTGGTTCCCATAAAAGAATTCTCTGTCAAGGTCGCCAGCGGAGAAAAATTAAAATGCCAAGGACGATTCGATAAGTTACAGGTGGAATTACAAGGCATTGAATTTTATCTTACACTTTTCTCTTTACCCTTAATAGGTCTTGACCTTGTGTTGGGTATATAATGGCTTGAGAAATTGTGGTCTGTGATTTGTAATTGGAGGCAATTGATTATGGAGTTTACATGAGAGAATAAAAAATGCAAGCTACAAGAGGATGATGTGGAAACAATTCGGGAGGCCACTTTGAAGGAAATCACAAAATATCACACGGCAATTGTGGTATGTTTTCAAATAAACATGGACACAACAACATCTCCCGAGTTATTTGAAGAAAATCAACGGGAGATGAGGCTACTGCTTCAAGAATACAAGGACGTGTTCCAGGGGCCTTCGGAACTCCTTCTTGCACAAGAGATTACTCACTGCATCATGCTTAAAGAAGGGACGAAACTAGTCAACGTCCGCCCATATAGATACGCCCATTTCTAGAAGGAAGAAATTAAGAAGCAAGTGTAGGAGATGCTGAATTCAAGACTCACTCGTCCGAGCACTAGCCCATTTTCCTCACCGGTGTTACTAGTAAAGAAAAAAGATGGCAGTTAAGGTTCTGTACGGATTATCACTCACTTAACCTTGCCAGCATTGCGGATCGATTTCCAATTCCAATAGTGGACAACATGTTGGACGAATTAAATGGCCCCTTTTATTTCACCAAGTTTGATCTAAGAGCAAGTTACCACCAACTGAGGGTAAACCCTCCTAACATCCCCAAAACTGCATTTCACACACAAAACGGGCATTATGAATATCTAGTAATGCCTTTTAGGCTATGCAACGCGCCATCTACATTTCGCACCATCATGAACTCAATATTCATACCTTATCTCCAGAAGTCCATCTTAGTCGTCTTCGATGACATCCTGATATACAATCCTTCTTGGGAGCAACACGTGATGCATGCCAAAAAAGCCCTAGAGGTGTTGAGACAGCACAAGTTCTTCGCCAAGGTGAGCAAGTGTGCATTCGGTCAGCAAGAGTTTGAGTATCTGGGACACATTGTCATGACTCGGGGAGTGAAGGTCAACGACAAGAAAATTGTAGCCATGATTGCATGGCCACCTCTTACTAACATCACTGAATTACGTGCATTTTTGGGTTTGACAGGTTATTACAGAAAGTTCATGCGGAATTATGGCATCATTACACGCCCTCTTACCAACCTACTCAAAAAAGAGAAATTCGGGTGGTCTAAGGAAGCAAAAGCCGCCTTCTTGGATCTTAAGCAAGCCATGACCACCACTCCCACCATGGCCATGCCCAATTTTAGTGAATCCTTCACCATTGAAATTGATGCATTAGGCGAATGAATGGGCGCGATGCTAACACAACAGGGCAGACCCATCACCTTTATGAGCCGCACATTGGGAGTTATGAAGAAAACTTTGTCAGTCTATGCCGAGGAGATGCTTGCGATTGTAAAGGCAATACGCCTATGGCGTCCTTATCTGTTGGGAAGAAAATTCTACATTCAGACAGATCAGCGCAGCTTGAAGTTCTTCATGGAGTAACGAGTGGCAACTCCAGAGCAACAAAAATGGGTAGCCAAATTGATGGGCTACGATTATGAAATAACCTATCAATCTGGCCAAGAAAATTCAGCAGTAGATGCCCTCTCACACAGGCCTCACAACCCAGTCCTCCATCAAATGCACGTGGCCACCGTCTCCATATGGGATGAGATACGAAGAGCATCTCACGGGGACCCGTACATCCAATCACTTGTTCAGGCAATTAAGGCACAACTCGAAGGTCCATACTTCCAACGTCAAGGACTGATTTTCTTTAAAGGAAGAGTGGTGATACCTTCACAAATGGAGCTAAGGAGCAAAATAATGCATGAGGCTTACAACACCAAGATGGCAAGACATTTAGGAGTACTGCAGACTTACAAGAGATTGACCCAACAATTCTATTGGCCAAAAATGCATCAAACCAGACAGGAGTACGTGAGGCAGTGTGATAAATGTCAACGAATAAAATCTGAATCACTCTCTCCTGCAGGTCTCTTACAACCATTGACCATTCCTTGCCAAGAATGGGAGGATGTCACTCTCGACTTTATAGAAAGACTACCCACATCTCACGGCAAGGATACCATCTTGGTGGTTGTCGATAGGTTGAGTAAATTTGCCCATTATCTCACCTTAGCTCTCCTGTTTACTGCTAAAAGTGTGGCAGAAAAATTCGTGGAAGGGGTTATCAAGCTACATGGCCTACCTTGATCCATTATTAGTGACCGAGACCCAATCTTCATCAGCAAATTTAGGCAATAATTCCTTCAAATGTCAGGGACTAAATTGCAACTCAGTTCCGCCTACCATCCACAAACCGACAGCCAAACCGAAGTTGTCAATCGTTGTGTCGAATAGTACCTATGCTACTTTGTCCATCAATGGCCGCGCAAGCGGAACACCTACCTCCCTTGGGCCAAGCTCTGGTATAACACCAACTACCATGCCTCAACAGGAATGATACCGTTCCAAGCATTGTATGGCCGCTTGCCACCCACCATTCCCATCTACTCAGTTAGGTTGTCTCCTGTACACGAAGTGGACCAGATCTCCTTATAAGAGATGAGCTGCTCCAACAACTCAACACTAACCTATAAGTTTCCATTAACAGCATGAAACAAATAATGGTCAGAAGCGATGTGAAATCACCTTCGAAGTAGGTGATCTGGTGTATCTCAGGTTGCATCCATATCGACAATAGTCAGCATTTAAATGGGTTCATTAGAATTTGGCAAGCAGATTTTACGGACCGTACCCAGTGATGCAATGAATCGGAGCAGTGGCATATAAATTGCAACTGCCGGAAGGAACTCAGATTCATCTAGTCTTTCATGTGTCCCTACTAAAAAAGTTTATTGGTGATCGAGCTTTGCCTTCCCAGAACCTGCCGCCATTGAATGAAGATGGGGTTGTCATACTGGAGCACAAGCAAATTTTGGAGGCACGCTGGGTTAGACGAGGACACAAATTTGAGGAAGAAATGCTGTTTTAGTGGGCATACCTCCCAGGGGAAGAAGCCACGTGGGAGTCAGCTCCCCTTTTGCTTTAACAATTTCCAGCTATGGACCTTAGGGACAAGCATCAACTTCATGGGGAGAGTATTGATTGACCACGACAATCATAGAGGCAACCAAAACTCCACCCTAAGTATCAGAATGGAGTTTGAAATGGGCAGGGGCCAAGAGTCTTGCACGCATGAGAGTAGAAGGTGAGTGGAGTTTGACGTGGAGTAGAATTCTATGGGCATGTGGGAGGATTGAGTCATATTCAGTTCAGAAGTTCCAACTGCCACGTTGTGCATGATTTTTCCGCAATTTACTTCTTCCGTTGCACATGTTAATTTGTTGGTTTATGTTGCATTTATTTCGACATCATGAGCATGACTTTACTTATTTAAAGCAACCATGGTTATATATATATATATAGAAAAGCAAAGAAATTTGCCGAATAACCCACGAGGTATTATTGGTAAATCTATAAATCAATCAGCGAGAGAAAAACTTTGTTGAAAAATGATAGGTCCCAGACTTGAATAAATTAAGATAATTTCTCTTCGGGGGAGAATGAACCCAATTGCAATAACTATATATATACTTTAAAATTTGTATAATTTAACAATTATTATATCTTAATATAATTAGTTTATTTTGTTAAAATAAATTTGTTTACAATCTATTTCAAAAACATTGAATAAACATACCCACGCAACGCACATACCCCATGTCTAGTTTATTTCTATAAACCAAAACATATTAAAACTAAAAAAAAAAAAAAAGTAAAACATCTTTTTCTGTAAATTACAAATAATAAATAATTTTTTTCTGTAATTTAAAAATTTTAAATTGAAAAAAATACTTTTAAATATATTTTTTCTGTATTATAAATTCAAAATAAAGAATAAAAATATTTTTGTAAATTAGAGATATAGGCTAACAAAAAAAAAAAAAAAAAACTTTTTATAATATATTTTTCACTAAATTGAAAAATAAAAATATTAGAAAATAAAAAATAAAAAAGCAATAGCAACGATCTAGATCATCGTTTTTGGCAATTTAGCAATTTTGATTTTGTTTCCAACAATATGAGATCGTCTAACATCTTACATAGTCGTTCCCCACGACCGGAGATGGCCGCAGACCTTGGATCAGTATAACGACGATCTAAAACTCTTAAAAGTTTAATTTCTTTTAAAATAATATTAAACTTAAATATATACTAATTTTTAAAACTTTTTATAAATATCTGTTTTTATTCTTGAAATATTTAATTCTATAAATTTATGTATTTAAACATAAAAGTCTTTTTGCCCTTTCCTCAATTAGTTTTAACACCAAAAATTGATTGTAGGGTTTAACTAGCTAATTCTGGGTTAATGGGAGTACCTCCAGTGGTTTGTGCCATTATTTTAAAAGCCGGACCGGACCGGCCGGTTCAACCAGTTTGACTGTGAACCGGTCATGTGTCCGTTTCGAGCCAATATAAACCTGGTATTGCGCAATAACCCATTTTAACCCAGCAATGGACCGCGTAAACAGTGCTAAACCGCCGTCCAACCGGACTGCAAGAAAAACTAGCCCAACTGAAAAGGGAAAAAAATCCCTAATTTCTCCACTTCTCCCATTTCGCATTTTCTTCTTTCTCTACGCGCAAATACTTTGAAAAAATTGAATGAATTGTGAAAATCTGAAATCCCACACAAATCAAAACTCAATCTTGCTGAAATCACAACCATTCCTTGCTAAAATCGATTGCAACTCCATTCCTGAAATCGCGACGACATCTTCCTCCCTTGCCGGAAATCAACGCCGACGACAGCTTCATTCCTCCTCTCGTCGCGATCCAGCTAAAAAACCACATTAGCCAATCTTATTTGATATTTTTCATGACAACCATTTTGGTGGCATTGTGCTCTTTGACAACATGTCGTGTATGCCCATTCTCATTGTTTAATCAACTCACTTCAATTTAGTCACAAAAGTGTTTTTGTAAAATTGATTCCGAAAGCATTTCAACCAAACCAAATGGGTCCTCTAAATATTCTCGATGGCCATCAACAAGGACGAAACCAAAAATTTGATTTAAAGTCGGCAGAGGGGTTACAATATATATTACGTCCTAGAAGTTTCGCTTGAAGGGTTAAAGTGTAAAAAAAAAAAAAAAAAAAAAAAAAAAGAATATTTAGGAAAGAAAGAACCAAAATCTATGACCTTGTTATATGATTGTGTCCATTTCTTTTTTGATTGATTTTATTGCTGGTTTGACGAGTTATGAGTTGTGATGATTCCACATTTTGTATATTGAAATGAGTCCCCTCCATAAAGCTTTGAGAATTTTGTAATATTCAGTTTTGTGCATGTTGTTTATAATAATTTTCTTAACATTAATTCTCAATCAATAGGGTCAATTAGGGAATTGTTCGTTTCTGAGTGCTGTTGCCATTCTAACGGAGGTCTCACGACTATCAGAAGTGATTAGTACTCCTGAGTACAACAAGGAAGGAATCTACACTGTTCGCTTCTGTATTCAGGTAATAGCTCATAATATCTTTGATCAATCTTGTCAACACCTAACACTCCTCAATACATCTCGATATTTCTTTTCTTACATATCCATAAATTAAAAAGAAATGCTTATTTTTTATGTTTATTAGATAACTTCTTTTGGTTTGTATTCTGGAAGCCTGGAACTGTGGTTTTCCTCTTAATATTGGTTTTCTAGATAATGTATTATTTAGCCTGTCAATAATTGCTTGCTTTTGTTTCTAATTCTAATATCTCTATAGGGTGAGTGGGTCGTTCTTGTTGTTGACGATTGGATTCCTTGTGAATCACTGCGTACACCAGCATTTGCCACCAGCAAGAAGGTAATGAACTTTGGGTCTCTATATTGGAGAAGGCATATGCCAAATTGCACGGTTCTTATGAGGCACTGGAAGGAGGCTTGTTCAGGTGCCCTGTGGACCTTACTGGGGGTGCTGGTGAGGAGATTGACATGAGGATTGCCCAGGCCCAGATTGATCTTGCAAGTGGTAGATTATGGTCTCAATTGTTGCGCTTTAAACAAGAAGGATTCCTACTTGGTGCTGCGAGTCCATCAGGTTCTGATGTGCACATTTCTTCCAGCGGCATTGTGCAACGGCATGCTTAATATTGCAGGTATGTTGAAATTCTATTCAGTCCAACTGTATATATAATATACCAGTTCAAGAAATTTGGCTGACTCTAGTAATTTCTCTTATCATTCAGGTGAGAGAGGTTGACGGCCACAAGCTTGTTCAAATCCGAAACCCATGGGCT